ATTTATTTATTTATTTATTTATTTATTTATTTATTTATTTATTAATTATTCAATTTGTATGCCGCCCATCTCCCCCAGTGGGTGACTCTGGGCAGTTGGTTTATTAAACAATTTATGCAGCCCCCCATCTCATTCTCACCATTCAGGGTAGCTAATGGTACATTAAAAAAAAAAACAACGAACACAAAAGACCAAAACAAAATTAAAAATAAAACAACAAAACCGATTAAACAATATTCAATGTGCCACGACCGACAACGAGGGCCATATCTCATTCAGCCTACAAGCTGGGCTTGCCTAATTTCTTGGCCTCAGCATTTGGGGAAGAGCCAGTTTTTAAAAACAGCCTTTTCTCTTTTTCACTTTCAGCAGTTTTTTGTTTCTGTCTTTCCTCTCCCTAAGGTGAACGGATTTTAAAACAATCAGTGAGCAGGATCCAGACTGGACGAAAACCCTACAGCCTTTCAACCCAACACGATTCAGACAGTAAGTCATTTTCCACCCCCAGTGGTTCTGTTTTAAGAAAGAATTAAGATGCCATATGCTTGCTATTAAGTTTTAAAAAACAAATTAAAATGGCTTAATTTATGAAAGATCCTGTCAGTTTGTTTCTATAACCTTCGATAATGGAAAACAGGTTACCTCTTGCCACGGCCTAATTGATTTTGGCTAACACCACGAAAGGCAGATTGGCTCCTTCTGCTGGAAGCTAAAACCGAGTCTAAAGTGGCTGTCAACATCTCTGTCCAGTTTATAAGGCAGACGTTTCCTGATATCATGGGAATCTCAGTTTTGCTACAAAGCTTTACCAAGCAGTTTACTCAAAAGATTAACATTAGATGAATTGCCACAAATGCCAAGTGTGTAAAATAACAGGTATCTTTAAAAGCATATGTACAACCTTAATACCCATCCTGGACCTTAAGTGCCTGTAGATTAAGAGGATTGAAATGTGCAACGTGAAAATTCTGTGGGCAGAACGTACTTTCTCCTGATTCCAACCTACATCATTATATTTTTCCTCCGTCACCTTTCATGCTTGAAATCAGTGTGGGGAAAGCAGAAATTCCAAGAAATTCTCAGGAATAACTTGTAACTGATTCATCTTTGGAAAACTGGGTTCCTGCAACCAGTTCAGGGCAGCTTTGGGAAAAAAGAAAACATTGGACCTATCCCATCTTTTCAAATCATTGGGTGGGGGTCTGTCCAAAGAGGGAGTTATTTCTACCTCCCAACACAAAAGCTCAGCCTTGCTTCATGAAGGATTCTTGGAATGGCAAAGCCCTTATTTTTACTTCTTTACATGGTTTATATAGCTGGCCAGCTCACCGAAGTGACTCCGGACAGCTTGCAAAGATCAAAACACAGAAAACCCAACACATATGACCCCCGCCCAAGGATAAACAGTAACCCCACTCATTGAAAAAACTCATCCATAACGGCATTGCCCATCTGCCCAAATGTTTGGGGAGTTTAGTGAACCTGAAAAAGGAATTGCCTTAATATAGGTTGGATGCATCATCACCAAATTGTTTCCTTCATGGTGCAGAATAGAGGAATCACCTGGTGGCCTACATTCCATCTCTATTCCGCAGCTATGATGTGCTTAAAAGGATTAAGGCTGGAATAGCCAAAGGCCATTTTCCAATTCCCAATGTTTGGGTCTTTGAAACTCACTGGGGGCTCCAGCTGGTGAGCCTCAGCCCCAGAGTGGTCCTCATCGCAATGTAGTTCAGGTTCCCCCTTGCACTGAGGAGAATAAACCTGCTTTCTTCCTCATATAGGTGACTCCAGTCTTGGAACACTTATGAATGGTGGTAGGGGTGAGAGTAGTCTTGGACAGTAGAAGCAGCTTTGTCTTCTCTCTGACAAGCGGGCAACCGAGATCAGAAGGGCCATTTTAGGCAGTTAACTGCTTTCCCCCTTCAGGGTAGGATGCCTGAAGAGGTTCCCTTCTCTGTGGCCTGACGTGCATCTTTCTCCCTTCTTCAGACCATGGAATGTGGACCAGCTGGTTCAACATTGACCATCCTGGAGGCAACGGGGATTATGAACGCTTAGATGCCATTCGCTTCTACTACCGGAACCGGGTGTGCCTGAGACCCATCCGCATCGAAGCCCGGACCACCGACTGGGTTCCTGCAACCAGTTCAGGGCAGTTGGTCCATTCCAGTGTCCACGAGGGCTTCTGGTGCCTGAATAAGGAGCAGCCTCTGGGGCAAACATGCTTAAATTATGCAGTGCGTTTTCTCTGCCCTGCCGGTAAGAGCTGCATTTAGTTTTTCTGGAGGGGTGTCCAAACGAGCAGAAAGCCAAAATGGGATTGAGATGCAGGGTGGGGAGGGAAGCTCTGCAGAGCATTTTGGAAGGAAGATGTGACTGCATTCCCACAACCTACTTAACCTGGTAACACAACTCACCCATGTTCTGGATTTGCACAAAACCTTGAGCCAAAACCCACTAAGCAAATAGGCTGGCTCTGCCAGGGCACAGGAAAACTAACGAATGGGATAAATCTGGTGCATGGAGAGAAATCCCACCTGCAAGATGTTCAGAGACAGAAGAGGGGAAGTTGATCTGTCAACTAGATCTCACTTATCAATCCTGATAGCTGGCAGAGACTGGCAAAGCTCTGGAAAATTAAACTCAGGCAACCCATTCGGAGCCGAACATTTTTCCTATTCAGCTGAGCTTTAAAAAGATATAAAGAGGACAGGGTGTCTCCCGAGAAGTCACGATGCAAGTTAAAAAAAGGCTTTAATTGCATGCTGTAGCCGCCATCTTGACTTTGTTGACCCCTTCCTTGCAGACAACCCTGGAAGGGGCAATTTTGATTTGCTCCTGTTTATCTTTTATCCTCCGAGAGGAGCTGAAGCATTTCCTCTCAGGCTGATCTGGAATTGGACAGTGAGGAAAAATAGAACAGCTTAAGGCAGGGTTTTCAAATGTTTCGGGCCGTGCAACCTATTCATATTTTTTTTTAATCCAGAGCCCTGATCCAGCGGCAAAGCTGTAGGGAACAGAAAATTGGCTTCGCTTGAGTAAACTTCCTTTTCCCCCTTAGTTGCTCATGGAACCCCATCAATTTCTCGCAGTATCCTACATCCTGCACGGAACATGGTTTGAAAAATTCTGGTGTAGGGGACAGGAGAGCGAGGTGTAAATAAGGATTTTGATGTGTTCTGTGGAAATGATCTGAACTGTGCTTTTGTTAAAGCTGGTTCTGCATTGCTTGTCTACGTTTTGTATGAGTGTATATTCCCAGCAGGAGGAACAGCCACCAGATAAAACCTGCTGACACCAATTGTTTTTATTTTATTTCTCTTCTGTGCTTTCATCTCACGTTAATTCCTTAATACATAATAAAAGCTGACATTGTCTTACTGAATTAACCCATTCAATTCTGAAAGGAGGCCAACATTTTGGCCCTTATTAAACTCCTGCAGCTCTGCAAAACTGAAAAAAAAAAAAAAAAGATGCTGAACATGCTTTCTCTGGGTGTCCCTGGCACCCACATTGGCATGTCTTGTTCTCCCAGGCCTTGGGTTTAGGTCATTGGGGCTCCTGTTGGATTTGTTCAAGGGTATGGGGCTGTTCAAGGGTATGGAGTTGCCATCTGGTCTTGTTCTCTTTTATAAGTTTATTATATTGTATTTCCTATTTTGTTTGGTTTTATTATACACCGCCCAGAGTCAGTTTGGAGCTGGGCAGTGCCTAAATTGAATCAATTAAATAGAATTAAATGCCCACCCCACCCCTGCCTTAGAGTGCTTGTTCCCTGTCAATGTCAGAGCAAGGGGCGCACAGTCGAACAAAACAAATAAACTCGAGTGTCACCGTCACACTGAAAGGGTTCCCGTGATAGATTGCAGCTAGCCAGGACAAACTATTTTTGAACAATCACTGTGGCAAATCAACTTATCATCTTATACTTTGCTGTCAGGGAGGTGAAGCAGAGAAGCTGCTTCTAAAAACCATCTCTGGATTCCTCGCTGAACAACCCTTTCTTTTTAAATCTTCTTGGACTCATCTCGCTCAACCTCGTAAGATAGTTGCTGGCTGTGTCTCCTTCCCAGGCTCTTTGGCTGGCAGTTCCAAAAGGTTCTGGTCTTCGTGGTCAACGTGGAGCCCGTGTTCTGGGCACTGTGAGCAAGCTGGTATCCAGACTCGGACTAGGACGTGCCTTACAGATAACATCTGGGATCCCCGCTGCAAGGAAATCAGTGAGGAAGGGAGGGGCTGTGTGGGCCCCCCTTGTGCAGGTACTTTCCAAGAACTTGATGACTGTGAAATCGACTTTAGCAGTATGCACGGAGCCAGGGCATGTAAAGAGGAGACTGCTGTAAAAAAAAAGAGGGGGGGGGCGGCTTTGCACAAGTGACAGGGGAATTAAGCCTGCCTCACTCAGGGGGTGGGGATAAGATAAAGGCAAAGTCTTGGGGCCACAGCAGGAAGGAGGTTGCCACCACTGGGCTTGTACCATGAGTGGTTAGCAGCACTTGAGGAAAGGTCCATGTAGGGCGAACCCTGTAGGGTAACCATGTAGGGTTACCACATCTAGCTGCAAACACAAGATGGCACAAGAGGCAGCGAAGAGGTACAGAAGATTCCAGCTTGCTGCTGCCTCGTGGTCATCTGGATTACCTAGAACCTCCCACTAACCAGGACTCTGTGGTTGGGGAGATGCCATCCTTTTCCCCTCCCCTGGGTGATCTTAAACAGGCTACCTGGACAGAGAACAGAAGTCAAGGCTTTTCCTGAATTCCTAGCTGCAGCCTAATTTAATCCTCCTCCTCCTCCTCCTCCTCCTCCTCCTCCTCATCATCATCATCATCATCATCATCATGTGTTGCGGGGAGGACATAACATTTTCATTGCTTTGGGGTGATTCAGACAGGTGTCACAGCAGGCATTGCCTTCAAAAAGGTATTTGATATTTTCAGAAATGCAGGATGCGAAAGCTTTTGAAACTATGTTCTTCCTCTGTCTCTTTGTTGCATGATTCATTGGGGGCATCTCTTTCTTTAGCTAAATGGTTTTTCACCAATTCATCTTGAGATGGAGAACCTGTGGCTCTCCAGATCTTTCTGAAAGCCAATCTCCAGCCTATCTCAGCACTGGTCATGCTTTCCAAGTTGCTGAGACCCTTTTGGCATTTTTGTGATGTTTGGAAAACCATGATCTTGGAGACACGCAGGTGAAAAATTGCTGGTTTGTTTTCTTCCTCCTCCCCCTCTGTCTGATTTTGGAGAGAAAGAGAAAAACATCATTTGGAGTAACTCATGCTTTTCTTACACATCTCAGTTTGCAACATGACTTGCTCCCTGGGTTGGGCGAATGCCGAGTGCAGTGCATGTTTCTGCCAAGAACATTTCCTCCATGGCAACATTTCTCTACAAGATGGTGCCCCGGCAGCTGGAGCCCGCATCTCTCTGCAAGCCAAGCCAACAAAGTTCTTAACAGAGACAGACCACAATGGGGCATTTCAGGTTCCTGGCCTGTGCCCTGATGGAAAAACCACTCTGCAAATTAACAAGCCCAAGTATGCGACCGCTGTGATCACTTTGTCGGAGAGTGCTGAAAATTCCTCAGCCGTTCAGATCTCCTTGAAAAGAGCAGGTAAGGTATCATTGGGCCCCCGTTCAGTGGCAGGACAGACTTCATCAGTTCTGCAGTTCTGTAGCATTGCACTGCAGTAACCATCATGCATGAGGCCCACACCTTCTACAAGACATGTCCTGTGCAATCTGGACTCCTGCTCCTGCAGCGCACACTCGTGCACCATGGTTACATGGTCTTTCTAACAGCAGAGAGCAGATCAGTCAAAGATGACAGTATCAGCGGAGCATGGAAATAGAGGTGGTGCACTGGGCTTCCCTCGAGCCAAATGTCTTACCTATATACAGTAGTTATTTGAAATAAACAGCTCTCTTCTTATAATCCAGACTTTGGTACGCGTGAGTGGGTGATTGATGATTACATGCCATCAAATCGTTGCTGACTCTTAGCGACCACGTAGATAGGTTTTCCCCATGATGATCTGCCCCTAACCTGGTCCTTCAGGCATGAGCGGGTGGGTAGAAAAGAATCTTACTTCCACAGCAAACCCTGCAATGAAAACCATTGTTTCTGTGCTGTTGGCCATCTTTATTTTAACTGCTAAAAACAGGCAAGCTTTGCTCTGTTGGTCCGTGTGTCTCCGGTTGTGACAATTCCTTGATTTTGAAGTGAGGAGTGTCCCATATGTTTCAATAGGTGGCACCTGGTCAGCTTGCTATATTCTGGCTGTACGTTTAACACGTAAGCCAGTAAAGACAATCATTCTGGCCTCAGCTCATAATGGTAGAGAGCATATTGTATATATCGTTTGAATTCTGGGACTGGCTTAATTGACTGCTAATTTGTTTAAAGGGGTGTGTGTGACAATTTGCTATTCCATTGTGGGGGAAGCGACCTTGGGAAGTTGCTGCTGCAGAAGCAAGCTGGAATTGAACATGACATTTGACTTGTCCATCTTGGTGTAGGCCAGTGTTTCTCGACCTTGGGAACTTTAAGAAGTGTGGTGTTTAAACTCCCCCAAATTACCCCCCCGCCCCACGCCGGCAGGGGTGGGAGGGGG